CCTGATCGACTCAGAAATCTCTATGGCAGATTCTCCAACATCTAGCTAGACTCCCAGAACTAGCTAAGCTATAGCCCAGCTATGAAAGGAAACAGACGTGTAGCACGGAGCACGTTTATTCAGTACGGATATTGCGGATAAAGTGTACAAGCAGGAAGCTTAATCATGATCAGGATGGCGGATTAGGTTAAACAAATAGAGGTTAATGATTGGTCACTGTTCGTACCGTCGCACCTCCCAATCCTGGCGTGCAGGCATCCGATGACGTGTCCCACACACTTATGTTAACAAAAGATCGTTAGCCCTAGAAGAAATGGAAATCGAGCCTTAAAAAACAAGAAATTTTTTACACTTTAGGCTGCCTCTTCTTTAGCGAGAAACAAAAATTCTTGTAAAGCGAACTGCATTATTAGTGGCTTATATCACACCAATAAGCTTCGAAATTAATAAGTCCGTAGTTAAACTATTGATACTTTATTGGCTATAAGCACAAGGGTTCCATAACTAAACAGATCAGTTTAAAAAGTAGGGTTTCTTGAGAGAATTCAATGAATTGAGGATATACACTTCATCCAAGGCCTGAGCAGCCTCGTCAATCANTCGACTTTCTACTACTTCGATTAACCTTCCCTCAGTGAAGCCCGAAGTCAACTAAAGGGCTAATNTAGGAGAATAAATGTTTGTTATTATAAGAATTTCAAGCAGTCCTATAAATTTAGTACTGTAGCGGATTGCTACCTTAGTAAAGCCTGACCGACTCAGAAATCTCTATGACAGATTCTCCAACATCTAGCTAGACTCCCAGAACCAGCTAAGCTATAGCCCAGCTATCAAGGAAACAGACGTGTAGCACGGAGCACGTTTATTCAGGAAGTATATTGCGGATCAAGTGTACGCGCAGGGAGCTACTTATGATCAGGATGGGGGATTAGGGTAAACAGAGGTTAATGATTGGTAACTGTTTGTACGGTCGCTGCACACAGAGTTGTACGGCCGCACCTCCCAAACCTGGCGAGCAGACATGCAGGCATACGATGACGCACACAGCAATAACGTGTCCCACAGTACCTATAGCTGAAGATATAATTAAAAGCTTGAGGTACCTCAAAGGAGAAAGGGGTGCGTAAAGTAACTGCAATCAGCTGACAGAAAGTTTGAAAGAGGAGGGAGTCTTGCTTCGTGTGATCTTTGAACTGAGTCATATAATAGTGTCCAAATTAATAGCTACCATCCCAATATTTAATTGTCATGTTTCCATCCCTGGTTTATAGAAAATAGTTGCCAGCGAAACTTCAACCATTTTCTTTCAAATGGCTGAGAGGGCAAAGGCTTTAACATTATATCCAACTACTTACATTTTTAACATAACAGAGATGAAATTGCCAAAAAATTCACCGAGCAGAGCTGGCTAAGCCGTCTTCACTCAAAGTTGTGAGGAGCACAATGCTATCAAAGAAGAAGACGTGATTCCAATTACATTAGGGAGAAAATGAGGTCACGAGTGTAGAGACCTCTTGACCAATCAATAACCAATAGTCATCACAGTGGTATCATATTCAAACAGTATTTAATGATGCTGCTCCATCCCATCACACACACAACCCAATATACGCACAGCTAAATAAACGTGTTCCACGTCATATGTCTGTGTCCTCTTTAGCTTTGAGCCAGTCTATCTAACCTTGGGAATCATTCAAATCAGGAGGTCCTGCTGTAGAGATTACTGAGAATAAGTGAAGGCTTATTAGTGTAGAAATCCACTACAAGGTGACTTTATGCATTATGGCAATCTAATTTCAGCAAAATTGAACCCAAGAGTAACATCCATGATGAGGGCTCAATTCTAAGTCATGAATTTTGCAGGCAGTTGTTCTGGCCGTTCCCATCGAGCTGAGCGTGTGCTACGATAATGACAAATGATTAAACCTGACCTTGAAAAGCTGGCTCTTGTTCTTTATGGTGCGCCGATAACTGGGAGCATTCTTAATAGCATAAACGTCTGAACATGTCCGAAGAGGGTTACATTCCATCCGTTTGTGGATTGACGGAGTAAGAATATAGAGGCGACAAGTGATACTCTAAGTGAACACGGAGATATAGGTGTCTGAAAACTAGTGCGTGGACTTCGCAGACAATGATAGTCTGAACAGTGGTATAAGACGCAAAGCTCTCCATATAAATTCAACCTCAGTAACGCGTGCCAATATGTTTTGATCTAAAGCCCCTTTGCATTATACGATTCACCGTCGTGAACCAGGAGAGACCGAATGAACCACTCAGTAGTTTGTCCAACAATTCGGTCATAATCGCCTTGTCAACCTTGTCCCTCAATCTCCAATTACTTATCTTCTAATGCTTTCTATTAAACACACAATATATTGAACAGTTTACATAGTCAATTCACCCGCCTTCAATTAAATCACACCTTGTTCCATATTTAAAGACATCTTACGACCTATAAGACAATATTGCGATGCTAGTTGATAAGGCAGTAGAACACACGAGTCACCTAGGCTCAAAACTAAAGTTCTTTATGCCCTTAGATTGCATAAGCAGGCAAAGTAATATCCAAATAAAGTTGTATATTAAATATAAAATTATTACCCAAAGTAATATAATAAAATTTCGCCTTTTTTATAGTTGTAAGAAAGTGAAATGGAACAGTGAGTCAAACAAATAATAATAAATTTGGGGTCTTTGGGGGGGGGTGGGGTAGGGGAATGGGTTGGGTCAAGAAGAGAGAAAATGCAGCTTTAGGGTATCCAGAAGCCTTAATTGGTTTGATCTTTGAACTCACATGCTGTTACATGAATTACAGCAACTGTCTATTTGAGAAGTTTGGTGTTTATTGTCCGAGATATTTTACTCAAGAATGCTTGATTTTGATTCCTCAATGTGGCTTATTTCCCTTAACGGCTGAGAAGGCAAACGATTTTACATGAGATGGGGTGTGCGATAGACTTACCTCCACGTGGTGCACCCTGGGCAACGTATACTCATACGACAAAAATGTCTATAAACGGGCAGTTGACTTCTGATTTCAAACTACCATCACCCCACTCTATGTCATATTCGACTACTTTCACAGTTTTCACCTCACCTTTTTTCTACCTTTGTGTCTGTCTTTTACATTTTTGAAACACTCTTCTGTCCCCCCCCCTTGACGTTTTTCACTTTGATGTTCCTTCCATTCTCTGAAGTCGGAAGCCAACTAAAGGGCTAATGATAACTATCACAACGCCTGCCATCTGATATAAATATTTTATACGAGATTCAGTAGTTTACAACTTTAACGAAGAAACATTGAATTAGAAAAATAGCTTTTTAACAGTTTTTACTCAAGCTAAATTGTAGCAAGTCATAAAATATCATTTCCACCTTGACACCTCCCCTTTTAAGCCTCGTCTTCCGAATTACTCTAGTTTTCTTTCCCAACAGGCTGTTCGGTTATTCACTCTTCATCAGACTACTAATCCCACTGTAGGTTCTACGCCACCCCCTCCTCCCACTCCCCCTCTAGCATCCCTCAGCTTTTCTACCGTCGGACCCTCTTCTAGTACGTTAGACTTCGTCCTTAGGCAAACATACCCAGAATTGATACTCCATCTGGTTCTACGAATACGAGAACGCGTAAAATGAAATCAACTACCCTTGTTAGATGGAATTAGTCCAAAATGTAGGGAAACGAGTTTAAGAACGAGTTGGGTTGACAGTAAGGCAACCGTAGTTCCAGTATTAACTGACGAACCTGACGAAGTTAGGTCTTGAGCCATACCTTTCCAGTACTAATGATCTTTATAAGGGCCTAGAGTACACTGAATAAATGTGTTATTGTCGTGCACTTCTTATTTTGATCAAATTATATCTGGTCCCTATTTAGGAGTATTACCCCCTATTTGCCTTTTAAAAGATTGAGGCTTCTCAGGGGGAATGGCAAGCATAATTTGATTATCTTCCGAGAATAATTTTACTTAGAAGATAAGTGCTGCTCTTGTTTCTTTTAAAGCTATTCAATTAACCAAAGCTAGCTCAAAGATATGAACCCAAGTTTTATCACCAACAGGACTAATGCTACCTGGGCTTATTATAAGGTGCTCAAAGTGGATCATACCAATTATCTGACCCAGTTTAACCAAGAATTAGTCGAAGTTTCCTCCAAACAGTCACTAGTTTATTTAAATAAAGGGGAGGGATGGAAGTGGGGTGAACAGAAATAAGGTGGTTGAGGTCAGGGCGTATTGGGAGAGGGGGGGGGGGGGGGGGGGGGGGGGGGGGGTGAATTCAAAGAGGCTTATGGCTAAATAATTCTGGCAAAAATGGCACAGGATGAGGCACAAACAATTTTTTTCCCCACCTTAGTAGAAGAGGGAGAGTAAAGGTTCCCGGAAGTTCAATAAAATTTATTCTCGTCTCACACTGTGTGTGGAACCTCAATGCGTCTGATCAACAGAGATAGAAAACCTAATCAAAAGAAGAAATTGTGTGTGTGTAGGGGAAGGAAAAGGGCGGACCGGATGAGAATTATGAATTCCAGATGACAAAAGGCTTCTTGATAGACCAAATGGATCGACTTAAAAAATACATTGGCTAGGTTAAATCGATGGTAGTTAGTGGGGAAAAATGGGAGAGCATTTTCAGAAATGGAGCTAGACACATCTCGTCTGCGGCGCCCTGCAATCTATACAGAGGAGAGTTTATTAATAGGGGTGGTGTGTCCAAACGCTTCGTCACAAACTAAAAAGTGGAAAGGAGGAAGGATAGTATGACGAGAAAACTCAAAATTTCGACTTGGTATATAGTGCCCAAAAGTGGATGTATATGTATATGTATAATATTTGGCTTTACTATAAGGCACGGAAGAAAAAAGAATAGTAGAGAGAAAGGGGAAGGGTAATTTAACCGGGAAGATATGAGACTAGTTGTAGGAAGATTTTGGTTGCAGTACATTGATTTTCTTTGATCTTTCTTCTATTACAGTTCCATTCGAAGGCAAGCACAGACTATAGGTAGACGTAGTGCGGGACTTCAATGTCTGAAACGCATAAATCGCATTGATTTTAAATTGTAGAAATTTAATTGTCAAATCGTGAATTATAAATCCCCAGAACTTGGATTAAAATACATGTGCTATATAAATATTTCAAAGAGCTAAATCGGTTACCACTCACTATTAATTTAGAAATGATATTTAACGTTAGAAAGCAAATACAATCGATACCACTGCTCTACATACTTTTAATTCATGCCCCTCGCCAATAAATGATCGATGGTATCTAAGGTTAAATTTTTAACCCTGAACTGAGAAAATCAATCATTATCCAATTCATAAAAAATTAGACTCGTTGTAAAGCGATGATCCGACATCAAGGTTACCTTAATAGTGTAAAGAATGAAACATTACCTTGCACATAATGAATTCGATCGATAATGCGTGAAAAAGGTTAAAGTGAAAAGGGAATTGTATTTGCCAAGCAAAGCAATAGTGGGTTCAGAGTAGTTCACATAAAAGTTCAAGTACGAGTACGGAATGGACTCACACGTTTCTGGATAAAATTGTCCGACATTAGAAGCAGCAAGCTGATTTTTCTGTCCGCCTGCATCTTCACTAGAGGCTCCATTCTCCACGACATTTCCGTTCTCCTGTGAGTTCGAACCCGACAGCTTATGTGACGTTACCTGAGGTGACATAGCTGAATGTGTCTGTTGTTGAATACCATTTTTGGTGTTCTGCATTTGTGTCTGTATGGCGTACATTCCTTGACTATAATCAAACATTGGAAGTCCCGATTTTGCATCAGCCAAAGCAGGTCTTTTCGCGGGAGTTGCTAGCGCACCCATTGGGTTCATCGCTGCAGTGGCAAGAGCTGCTAAATGAGCTGCAGTAAGACCTCCCGGGGTACCTGGAGCCCCACCATTAGCCAAGGGTACTGTTGAGGGTACTGACTTCAATGGTGCAGCTGAAGCAACGGCCGCTGCCATCGAATTAAGTTGTGTTGGAGTGAGGTATGGTGACAGACTAACACCCTATTAAGGTATAATGAGTTTATACAGCGATCATTGGGCCCGCATTTTTTTTTCAACTCAAACATTCAGGCTGTCTACTAATGCCATCATAATAGTATTAGATTTTGGTCGAAGGAAGCTCCCTTAATCTGATGGAATTCGTTAAATTCTTAAAAAAACTCAGATAAAGATTGGTCTTTTCAATGTTAACAAATATAATGCATTTGAAAGAGTAATTTCAGCTACCAAACATGAATTCATCATTACTGTGGAAAACATTTATTTACAGCTTCGATATCTATTTGGTAGCAAGGAGAATCAGATAAAGTGAGTCGAAATGGTCACAAAATAAAATAAAATAAACTCGTGTTTGAGGACAATTGACCTAGGTGCTAATTTCGAAATTTTTTGTTGCAATGTTAGGGTTTGGTTAAAACAATCAAAATATATGATTTCAAAAAATAGAAACTTAAAGTTAGTAGGTAAGTTCTAGAGGTAATTCAAGAACAAAAAAATTAATTTTGCTAATTATCAAAAATGAGAAAAACGACAATACCCAAGCAAAATCATTAAAATTTTATCGAAAAATAAACATCTATACTTAAATAATCTCCCAATTTTTCAAATTTGTTGTGAATTTGCTTTGATAATGCACTTTCAGCGTTTTAATTAAAAGTGCTACAAATGACCACTTTCCAACATTTATTTTGCATTCCGATGCGCATAAGGGGTTGAGAAAAAATGTCAATCGAACAGATTCCACATTTCGACGAGTTAATGAGGTAACTTAAAAGCGTGCGAAGAGCAGCATGCATGCTTTACTCATAGTGCGGTGTGCTCAAGCTGCTTAGACATTGCGTGCGTGAACGTCACACCACCAGAAAAAAAACAGAAAAACCGACAACAGAAACAAAAATATGAGTATAACAAATCCGCATCAGCACCGATATGAAAGCCCAACCTCATGAGCGCGCATTTGCATGAGAAAAATAGATAAACTTAAGCGGAGTATTCGTAGGAGGGGAGGGGAGGGGAGGGCGAATTGAGCGAATAAGCAAAACTACCAACCAATGCATTAGGGCCAATTTGCTGAAAGATCGCGGGATCAAGCTGAGGCCCATAATTCAGCATTGAAGACCCTGTGAGAAACGGAGAGTAAAAAGACTCATTTGCGGTCCTTTTTCGTGTTCCTCCTGGAGAAACGACTGGAGCTTGTCCATACAATTGCGCGCATAGTGGATCGATAAAGGGGGACTTTGGTTGAGCCGTGAAAACTTGGGCTAGTGGGTTGGTAACTGGAGCGTCGAGATTGGCCGCTAGAGCTGTGACAGCAGAGAGGGACTGTGGTGTTGTTTGTTGGGAAGGTTGAGTTGGTGATGGCGTTGTTTGGGAAAGCTATTTGCCGACATGCAGTAGGAGACAAGTGCGAGAGAAGACAAGCAGACAGACGAACGAAATAAAAGAAAGAGATAGAGAAAGCATCACAAGCAAGCGATGATGTGATTGCTTGAATGAAATATGATGAAAATGATTCAACAACATTAGGTGGGTAAAATTAGTGGGACCTGCAGATTTCTCAATTAGAACAAATGAGGCAAAAAATCGAGTTATATCCTGGAAGCAATCAAATACTTAAGCATCGGGAGCGTAAGCCCTTATACCACTTAAATCAGTAATTTAAATTCCAGCGTTAGTGGTCTCTTGGTCTCAATAGCAAAAAAGTGGGAAAGCAATTTACAACATTGACTGTGATACTGAAGCTCAGTTAAAGCTGTCACCAAAAGCAATTATGCAGTTATTGATCATGCATGCTACTTTATAACCATCAGTAGCAGCTTTAGTGGTGTAATCTTGAGTAGTGCATCCATGCTGAGGTTTATTCAATAGGGAAAAGTGCAATAAAAGGAATTATCATATGTATTACTCACAAGTAATGAGTAGTTAGTCGCCATTCCTTGCGGGGTCAGATTCAACGAAGGCGCTGGCTGGTAAATCAGCTTTCCCTATGAGAGAGAAAAACAAAATGAAGACATTATATGCCATAATTGGTATTACTAGTAGTGTATGTTATGACATTTATCAATATTAAAATTACTTAAACTTGTCACTTTATTTTTTCTTCCCTTTAAAAGAATAAGTCAACGAGAATCAACTATTCTATGTAATGTAAAAAAGACAGTAACAGTCAGCTAGGAAATTATCTTATAATATTATCATATTAAATCACATCTAACCGAAGGAAAAAGTAATTGAAGTTGACGCTACTTTTAAGTAAAAATGTCTATTTAGCCTCGTCGCTAATTGAGGAATACCTGTAATCTATTCTTTTTCGAAAAAATTTAATAAGATCAGAATGTTAATTGAAACTCGATTAATTCTTAAGCGAGGATGCACTTTTTAATTCAAGCCTTTGATTTCCACATGGTAGAATTAAATAAATATTACGGAAACATGAAATGATGTATGTTGACACCAAATAATCCATTAAATAACTTCACATTTTAATTTACCCCTGACGCATTAAACCGCCTGATAAGTGGGTCACGTCATAAGATTATGAAGATAGGGAGAGTGAGAGTGTTTGACTGAAGTTCGCCACCCACCCCTTTCTTCTAATGTTAATGACAATCTTCATCGCAAATTAAAAAAACTGTCATCGTCACAATCAATAATTAGTCCATTTGTATGCGCGAATATACAGTTTCAGTTTGCGTTAGTTGTGTTTACACTCACATGTAACCGCGGTTACTAGCCAAATGTTGATCGGAGTGAACCTGAACGTCTTTCATTATCGATCGGTTGGATTAGATTCCCACATAGATGAGACAGTTATATTTGGCCTCCTATTGAGTTATCGATTAGTAAGAGTACCATAAACTAAATTACCTCCGCCGAAATCAAAGTAAATACTAAAAAATTGAGATGGCAAAGTTACGACATACCAGTAAACATGGAGCTGTGGGAATGTATTTGGTTACCAATCAAATTATGTTCTCACGAAAAGCCTTATTTTTATCTTCTTATTGATTTATCGGTTAGCTTCAAGTTCAGGAGAATAAAATGAAACTTATTATAGAAAAAATGAGTATACACCAACTCAGTAAACGATTAATAACACGAGTGTAAATTGATTCAGGAATTCGGGCAAAATATAATGGAATTTGGATGTTGGAGCATTAAGGCAAGGTGCAGTTAACAATAGCCATTAGTAATGTAGAAATGCAAGGCAGAACTTCCAACTCTTCCAGATACTTTAAAGTATTTCTCCACTTCCAGCTTCCCTCCTCCTCCCACCCTGTTATAGAACTTTTTGCCATTACCGGGCATCCAAGTGATTTAAAACTGCCTCGGAGTGGGGACGGGTTTATTAAAGAACTTTAGAAGCAGAAAATCGGTTTATTTTTTCTGCTAAATGAGAAATAACGACAAAACCCTTGCTGAACACGTGCAATAAGTAGGGTATACTAAAACATGCGATAAATGTGTCAAATTGTCAATAAAAAGGGGAACAGAAAGGAAAGGAGGGCGAAGTGGGAGGGGGGGGGGGCGAATAATTGGAATACAAAACAGGTTCTGTCTTTGTTCAGTGTTGGGAATTAAACCTGGCACATGTACGCCTGATCTTTTCAAACTCAAATCGATAAATCTGCAGCATTAGATAAGGCGACCACCCAAGTGTGTGAAAATGTGCGCCTACGAATGTGCTGCATCCAAATATGCACCCCATTTTTTGGAAGATAATCAATTCCAATAAAAAATTATTTTCATAATAGCCATGTAAAGGGACAGTCGGTCAGTGAACTAATAGGGCAAAAGAAGGTCAAGAAATGTGATGGAAATAATTTAAAAATGAGGTTTGGGCACAGAGGAATTAAAATGATTTGAACCCCATTTCGAAATGCATAACATAATGAATAACCTTTTGTTCGATAATTAACCTAAGAAAAAAAAATTAAATTATAGCTAACACGCAAAAAAGACGAATATAATTTGAAAACCAAAAGGGAAAGAAACCAGAAAATTGATATCATCTTCAAATTGTTTCCATAAACATGTGCCGAGTAGAAAAAAACTAACTTTGCAAGAAAATTCATTTCGAAGCCCTTTGGCTATATATTCCTATGCATGGGGTGTGCGATGAATTTAACTCCACGTGGTGCACTCTAGGCAACGTATACTCATACAGCAAAAAAGTCTATAAACCGGCAGTTGACTTCTGATTTCAAACTACCATCACCCCACTCTATGTCATATTCGACTAAACACAGTACTCACCTCACCTTTGTTCTACCTTTGTGTCTGTTTAAACTACCATCACCCCACTCTATGTCATATTCGACTACTTTCACAGTTTTCACCTAATATTTTTCTCTACCTTCGTGTCTGTCTCCTTTACATCCGTGAATCACTTCTCTTCCCCATCTCGACTTTTGTGACTTAGATGTTCCTCCCCTATGTGAAGCCCGAAGTTAACTAAAGGACTAGTGATAGCTATCATAAAGCCTCCCATTCGATATAAGTATTCCTACGGGACTAACGAAAAATAGCATGAAAGCAGTCCTTTAATAAAGCAATTATGTGGGTTATTAAAAAAATGTAATAACCCAACCAAGCGTAAGGTCTTAGGTACATTGAATGATAGATATTGATCATCAGTAAAAGAAATTTCTAAGTTTTATAATGATAAATTATGATTTCTTTCAAAAAATGCAAGAAATAATACAGCCATATATCTCTACTTTAAGGTTATAAAGTTGACACCAAGCTTTAGAGATATTTTCAATCGAGGGGACTCAGTGACTGAACGCATATGCATGAAGTATTCTTCGAAAGTGCAATCTAATTAACTGTTGATTAAGAAACTTCAAACAGAAAAGGAGATAGAGAATAAAAGTGCATTAAGGTCAATGAGAGTATTCAAGACAGCACCGCAACAGTTACCACAAACATTTGATTACTTGCCAGCAAGGCTTCTGTTTAGACACATGAGGTTTCATCAGTGCCTTGATGGCAGCGTGTTTGTTGGTTTATGCAGCTATAAGTAAATTATCGGGGCTTATTGTATCCGGAGCGGTTGGCTTCTAAAATTTCCTTGAACAAACCAATGACTTATTTTGAAATGAGAACTTCACACTGCATATTTTTTGGCTCAAGAAAGTGGCTTTTAAGCCTGGATTAGTGACTCATTTAAAGCGAAAACAGTGGTTTGGATAAATCACATACTTAGGAGGTTTCCTTGCTAAAAGATGGTTGTGTGTACGCGTGCTTGGGCTTCATTCACATCTTACAGTGAACTGATTCGAGTACACTCCTCCCGATATCCGATCAGTCATCTGATATGGGGTGTCTCGTTTCCAGTTATACTATTTCCAATGAGTTTCAAATACCTGGACGCGGGTAAAATTTCATTTTCAGAAAGAGTAAATTCCCACTTGGAGGACTTATCTACCTAAGGAAAGTATATCATTCACAAGTAATGTAGTAACGAATTTACAATTTTGGCCTGTTGATTTATCCACCTGAAATGATACTTAAGCCTCAACTACGATAGAGGGAAGTTTTGCATGACGTTGTTAACCTGAGAGGCGTCGTTCTGATAGATGGAAGAAACCAGAGCGGCCGGCCAGTCAAATCAACGGATACGCACCGGCGGTATAGTACTACTCAACGTCGACGCATGGAATCGATTTCGAAATTTTCAATTTAATAGACTCAATGTGTTACTGTCAGTCTCTGTGGAGGTGAAGTTATTGATCCAATTTTAGCAAATGCGATTAGTTCACACCTCATTGTTACTTCCACACAAGGTCGCCTAAAAACATGCTGATTTCCTTTTTTATTTGATATCAATTCTTAGTGGGCATGTGATAAAACTTTCATCCGAAATTCAGAGCAAAGACGCCTTTATAACGACTTCCGGTTCATTCGGTTAAAACGTAGAGGCGTCTTTGTGTTGCAATTTCGAAGAGAAATTCGCGAAAGCTGGTTTAATTTTATGTAAATTTATGCATTCAGCGCCTCAACCATTGCAGAAAGATTTACTGACCTAATTTTCCAGCTTACTCTCTTCACTCTTAATCTAACCAAAACTTAAACACTAAATAAATTTGAATTTATAATGGCATACTCTTAAGAATGCCACTGTCTAAGAGTGAAGTTAATGAAAACATTTAAGCTGCAACAGTGGCGACTTCAGATATGGAGATACGGTATAAACGCGGATTATATCTTCATTAAATACGTGCGGTTTAAATCAATTTCTGCTTATTAAAACAAAACGCAAAGACGATCATTAAGGCCAGAACACGTTTAATGTTCAACACACACCTCGACTGAGCAGTTAATATGTCAAATATTTTAGAATTCAAACTCAGTGGTGCTTGGTAAACTCATCAATACATTAATTTAATTGTGATTTCTACTAGCTTCAGGCAAACAACAGCAAAATGAAATAAAACTGGTGAACAAATAAATAAGACATTAAAAAATATGCAATAAAACATGAAAAAAACAATTGTCAACGTTCCAAAAATTACCGATACAATTTTACCCCAATTTCTTATAAGGAACGAAGAAAGAATTTAAAAGTTTAAATGAAGAAACTTGTAAGTGAAATGGAAAACATTTAGTGACTATACATTTGGGAAATAATTGTCCAAAACAAATTGAACAATTCTAATTTTCAATTTTAACTCGATAGAAAAATAAGATCAAGTTACCTATTAAAGCACATGGAACGATTTCGCAGCACTTTTGAGAGAAAGCGTACATAAAGAACATTTGCAAAAAGCATCATGAAAATAGTTTCAAAATTTTTGATCTTTTTCCGTGCGATTTAAGTTAGCGTTTACTATCAAAGGAATTAATCTGTGACATTCAATGTTTGACAAGCGGAAACATGATATCTGATCGAACAGTTCTTAAAAATAAAATATTTAAATATTAAAATCTCTCATTCTGGAATCGATGACAAATCAAAAGTTACGTTTCTTATTGTCATTAATAAATATTTATTACATTCTCCCGAACGCATGTAATTGGAGTAACATCATATTTAAACAAGTTGGAAATTTTTAAACAGAGAAAATGAATTTATAACTCAAATGACCCAAGTTTATCCACACGTGCTTGCATTAAAGGATTTAATAACTCGGATCAGAGCATACCGTTGGACCAAGAGAGGTGGAGGTCACCGGAGTGCCGACATTTCCAGCCGTTGATGCTGCAGCCGCTGCCACGGATGAGGCGGCGGCATTTGCAGAGGCAGCAGCGGCTATAGCAGCTGACAGACCCGGCAACATCGCTCCCTGAGCGATCTGCTGTTGCAACAGCTGTAATTGCATATTCTTTAAGATCAGATTATTCCGACCGTTTTGGAGAAGAAGCTCACGCAGGTGCTGGGGTGGATGAAAGTACTTGCATGGGGGGTCATGACGTTGACACTTTCCCTTAAAAAGAAACAAAGTGATGTCAATGGGTTGTAAGAATCAACCATGGCATTACTAAGAAAGACCATTCCAATTCTTTACAAGAAACCAAATCTCATAGTTTACGCATAACAATCAGAAAGAGATCAGTAACCAACTCCGATTTTCAAGGCAAGCAATAACAGTCTAGGTTTTCCGACCAACCAAGTGTAGAAACGCAGTTTTTTAGTAAATGGTCTTTACAAACCATTAATCATCGATGGAAATATGCTATCGAATCCTGTTCTCGAAATCAAAGCAATTAGGCTGGAAGATTGATGATAAGCTTTAATTAGTCCAGCCGTCAGCCATGTCTCGAAAAATGAGCCTCAAATGTTTTAAATTTCTGAACTATTTGCGGTAATTTCCACCTCCTGTGTTGAACTACTTCTAGCATTTCCTGGAAATTTATCTAGGGAGGTGCCCTTTTCAAATGCGTATATATTATTATTGCGTGGTCGGATTTCAATACGTATTCGAAAGTTCGCAAAATATTCACATACAATTTTGTAAAAAAATCAATTTTGATTTAAAATTCAACCGATTAGTTTTTGCCAATGCAATTCAATATCAACCCGGTTCCACAGCTGAGCTGTTTTATTAAGCGAAAGGGATTGAAACTTCAAGTGGCTTTTGCATTTTGAAAAGTGTTGTTCTTGCGGCCCTATTGTGTAATAAGAAGAATTGCCTTCGAAAAGCAAGTTGATTGTATCCAATTGCCTCCTCAAAACATTCTCCTCTTGAATAACATGGGATGAGGGGTCACTATTGAGTTAGATATCAACTGAGCAAAATCAGCACTTAGCATAACAACATCACACACAAAGAAATAGCGAAATGGGAAATCTGAGGTATTTAGGAGCTGTCAATTTTAAAAATGGATTCGTACAGAAAACCTAGAATGCAATTAATAAGAACATGAAAAATTACTGAAATCTATACTCTTGCTATTTGATCAGGTACATGATTTATCTTTAACCAAGTGAATTTAAAGCGGAATATTTCACAAACAGAAGTTACTATTTTAAGTCAAAACATAAATTATTAAATAATTCCAAAACTTCTAAGAACCGCCAAATAATATGTGAAATAATAAATGCACGTTCCCGAAAAATCCCACGATATTGACCTCCGCATTCGAGAGCTAATTTTATTCTCTCAAAATAAAATCAAATCAAATTTCTACCAAGAATGCAATAAATAGCAATTTCCCATATCCTAAATATTTAAAATAGTTACAAAAAAATTAAATTACACTCAAAACTACTTTAAATGAAGAGTAAAATTATTTATTTGTCTGTATTGATTGTTAAAAGTGAGATTGCCTCCCAACCAACTAAATTTATCTACAAAGCCCGATCGCAGACATCTAGTTATGTGCACTGTGCTCACTTCACTTGTTAGTGAATCACCAATAGCCATAAATTTCTCAAGGTTACTCCATCAACATCAAAACGAGCATAGGTATGCCATTACCACATTAAAGAGCATTTTTATACATCAAATAATCTACTTTGGACACAAAGATCTGCTGACTGGGGTCAGACACTGAATTATCAACTTGGTAGTCCATTTTTGAACACGAACGGTTCGCAGCAGGTTCCAAGCTCTTTGGAAAGAGCTGCTTTTTCAACACTTTCCATAACATTTGGGAAAATTTTCAAAAGAAAATTACTATCGTAATCTTCTCAAGTCGGAGCGATAGGTCATGCAACTACATAACCCCGCCAATTAGACACTAACCGAAATCAACTTTAGATAATTGGTAAATTGACTCTCATACAAAACTTTTCGATAATAATGGTAGTACTTGTTAAAATGACGAACCTCCACATAGGACCTCTTTATCCTTTACATCTTCATTTCAGCATAAACGTTACTACTAAGGCAAATAAGTGAACATAAATGGGGCGAAAGCGAAGCACAACACAATAGCAATTTAATCAAATGCAAAAATGGCTATGCTGAAATTTCGTAACTTATTCTATTAGCGAAACGGAAATGTAACGCAAGAAATAATTAATTCAAAGGGTGCACAAAATTACGAATTCTCAAATGTCACCAACCCAAAGGATGGGAGTTATAAAGAGACACACTAAAGGGACACGTTCATCCTTTTAGTATGGAATTTAAGTGTGCACCCGTGGAGACGCAACACAACGTCAGCACATTAAGAGAGCACGCTTGTGTTTGTTTAATTGAACCTTTCCAGAGACCTCTATAGATAAATAGTTCTTGTCTAAATTCCAAATCTGATTATTTTAGAATATTGTATCAGCTAAATTAAAAAATAATTATTATGAAAATTGAATTTATTAAACCAAAATCAAAATATTTGGCAAGAATAGTCACTTAAACGATAGGCAAGTTTTAATGTGGGCGATACGAAGAAAAAGTTAAAGCATTAATAGCTTTAAGAATTTAATAATATGCATATGTGTACATAAAAAATAGTATTCTTATAACTGGAACCGATGCCAATTTGGTATGAAATAAACGGTAAGAAAAAACAGTTGAATGGAAAATAGCTTCCATTACAATTTGTTATTTTTCTACAATTTGCAGATGCTGTCTAAATTGGTCTAATCGAAAATCTAACCAACAAATATCGCCCCAAAATGGATCCTTTACTTTGAAAGAAAGCTTAAAAAGAAAACAAATCACCGAGCTTTATATAGTACAAATAAAAATTGAATAAACTTCAAAACTTGCTGGAGAACGAGTGCTCGATCCTTCCCACTCCAATCTACTCCAGCATTTGTAACACGTTTTCGTTAGTACTGACTGGTAAGTGTGCTCTGCATAAAACAAATTTTCATGTTCCCGAAATCAATAGCATTTCATATACACTTGTCTGGCAAATAAATGTTCTATGAAAACGACCTGATTACACTTGTTATTCGTCAATCCGATTGTCATATTAAATTTTAGAAATTCTGACATGAAGATTCAGTTAAAATTCCATCAGTGAACTTAAGACGATTAAGCACAGGATTGAATCAAACAGTAGGAGATTGATCAGGATGAGGATATGGAATGTCAAACTACCGAACTCCAATTTCGAGAATAAATTTTGTCCACTTTTTGTATGCCTCATGAAACATAGGCTGCCTTAAATTACTTTATTTAAAACATTTAGAAGAGAGTCCTAAAATGGGAAACACGTATAGAATTATTTTCACTTTTCCTGAATTGAGGGAAGTTTAAAACAAGCAACATATACTACTCGCCTATTTTGCAATACGGAAGGTATATATGATCAACAATTTCAAGATGGTCGTAAATCGATTTCATATATTTTTTATATTTAATTAGAATAACAAAATGCAACCAATTTGATGGATTTTGGAGTAAAATTTCATAAACCAAAACGATTGATTTCTCACTAAGTATTTTCATAAGTACCATATCAAACATGGAACACTCAAATATCCGATAAGCGGAAGACCTTATGGACAAAGAATACCAATCAAGTTAATGTTTTTTTTTCGGAAACACAATCTTTGAAAATTAAACCTAGGCTCCAACACGCATTGCTGCATGAATTCAATACAAATTTAATGTTCAAAAAGCAGGCAGCATATTATTTTGTACAAAATAAGCATTCAACAAGATTGTCAAATTAATTAATCGCTGATCCAAAATGATTTCCAAATTTGTTGATTTCACTTACCCCAGATCGGAACAGTTTATTTGCGATCAAAGAGCCTTGATGCATTTCATCACAAAAACAAAATGAATTTCGAGAAGGGGAATGGCAAAAAATAGCAAAATCAGAGTCACTAAACAGCCATTTAGATTAGTAAACAAAATTGGTTACTTCTAATATGTAATTCAATTTAATCGAACAAAATCACCTGTGAATCGAGACGCTCATAAAAGTCAGGAATTGACCACTTGAAGAAGCAATGTGTTACTAGTTTCTTTGACTCCTTTATGGGGCGTATTCTACTTTAAATTTCAACAACGGTCATAAAAAATGCTCACAGAATTTTCTGATGAGATCACTTACCAATTAAGTGGATTACGAGGTAGATCATATGGAAATGAATAGTTGGTATAAAATGCATAGCTTAAGATTATTAATAAAGAAATAACTTAAAAGTACGCATAATAAAATTAAAGTGACATTCAAAGTATTTTAATTGTACAACTTTAGCTTTTATAGAATTTAAGGGTAAATCAATAAGATAAAGTGATGATCGATAAACACTCGGCGGACGGAAGTCTATGAAATCAATCAATACAAAGAAACATCCAGAACGACGGCGTATGAAAGTTGCAGGCGTGTCCTTCTAATGGGTAAACACAATAAATTCACAAATATTGATGACATAGCAAGCACAAGACGACTGAATCAGATGTTTCAAACGGGAAAAATGATAAGAGGAGAGATATATGGCAAGGAGGGACATAACTTCACGCCGAAAGGCACACAGAGGTCTTAAATCAAACAGTGGACTAAATTATGACTCGCCCATATTGGCCGACTGCTGCTGCTGAGGTAAGCGAAACAAATGTGGCGCGAATTTACATGCAAAGCACGATTTAAAGTTCTCGTTTTTGATAATGGAGAAAAAGGATGTTGACGTGTGCTCCAGGAGTCTATTTCTCGAACATTTGCTTCGTGTTGGCGGAAAATTAATACCATTTTCTTGCCTTAATTAGCATAAAAGCTTCTTTATCTATTCCTAAAGGAAGCACAATTACCACAATTGAGTGGTACAAGTGCAGCTATATTCAGTTAAATTTGCTTTTCCATTAATTCATAATATTAAAACCAATAATAAAGGATATTTTTGTTCCCAAATAGTAAATTGAATCAAAGAATACAATTTTGCTTATTTAATTTCAGTTGTCAATTAGAAAGACTGTCGAAGTAGTTGAACTAAACTAATAAAGAAACAGGACTAAGGCTGACTTTGTGAGCATAAATAATGGCAATAATAATGTTGACATGGTAATTTAATTTTAAATAAGTC